CATGCAATGGTTTCTATTGTGATGCATTCTCTCCCAATAAACCTTATAAACCTACAATGTGGACAGAGGCTTGGAGTGGATGGTGTGTAATATTTCATTCCCATGTCTCTCTCATCTTCTTATAGTCATTCCACTTTTGGATCTCCTAAAGGTTTCTCATTTCGCTGATTTGCCTTTGACAAACCTGAAGGTTTAACGAGTTTGGGGGTCCAATTCACCAGAGGCCGGTTCAAGATTTGGCATTTGCCGTTGCTCGGTTCATTCAGAAAGGAGGCTCCTTTGTTAACTACTACATGGTTAGTCCTCTGTTACACGATCACTACTTTGTCATCAACTATTAGCTTCTATAATTCTCATTTTTTCGTGTGACAGTACCATGGAGGGACAAACTTTGGCCGCACAGCAGGGGGACCTTTCATCACTACCAGCTATGACTATGATGCTCCAATAGATGAATATGGTGAGAATTGAATCTCACTTGTTGTAAAGCGTTTGCACCATTCCCATTAAAAGATACAATGGTTATTACAAATTCAAGAAACTACAAAGCCACCTTATTTTTTCATGCATTAGACTTTGTAGATGTATCATGGCTGTTGGCTGACTTAAAGAAAGTTAGGAAGTATACTGCAATGGCTATAATTCTGTTCCCATGTTTCTGATCATTGCAAATATTTTCATTGACTTCTTTGTGCAAAATCTATGATAGGTTTGATCAGGCAACCAAAGTATGGTCATTTGAAGGAGCTCCATAGGGCGGTGAAGATGTGCGAAAAAGCTTTAGTTTCAGCAGATCCAATTGTGACTTCATTAGGGAGCTCTCAACAGGTTTTTTTCTCACTTGTAGTCTGTAGTTCTCTTTTCTTGCCATCTAAGCTTAATCAGAGCCACTGAGGCCAATCGACATTCAATGTTTTCAGGCTTATGTTTACACATCAGAAGGAGGAGATTGTGCAGCCTTTCTTTCAAACTATGACACAAATTCAGCTGCAAGAGTGATGTTCAATAACGTGCACTATAATTTGCCTCCATGGTCCATCAGCGTCCTTCCTGATTGCAGAAACGTAGTTTTCAATACCGCCAAGGTTTTGAACAATTTCCTGGCAGTTTTGTTTAGCAAGAGTCAAAACTTCAGTAGGACCTGGTTCCGGCTAACCTTGATTTTGTTTTCGGCTTGTTTTCCAGGTTGGAGTTCAAACGTCGCAACTGGAAATGCTACCAACAAACTCTCCCCCACTCTCATGGGAGAGCTACAATGAAGACATTTCTGCTGAGGATGATAGCAGGACAATGACTACTTCTGGTTTACTGGAGCAGATAAATGTTACCAAAGACACTAGTGACTACCTATGGTATATTACTAGGTGAGACCACTTCTTCCTTCACCAGTGGATAATGAATTAATTTCTACTATCTTTCTTAATCCAACTATTTTCGTCGAAAACCGTTATGCGTTTAACTTTAAGACCATCTCGTCATCTGATTGTCCAAAACCTAAAACACCTATAAACATGCTTGAATAAGAAAAAGTAGCTAATCAACTAATCTTTTATACAATAGAGACGTTGAAAGTTTGGTTTGGCTAATTGTTATATTTTGCCTCAGAGATTAGCTCATTTTTTCCGATGCCATGGGAGCTAATATTTTCTTTTTCAATGTCCCTTCAGTGTAGATATTGGTTCAACAGAATCCTTCCTGCATGGTGGAGAACTTCCCACACTGATTGTTCAGTCAACTGGCCATGCTGTGCATATCTTTATTAATGGGCAGCTTTCAGGTATAGTACTATCTCATTACTCTTTGATGTCTCTGCTCATCAAGAAAGCAGGGAAATGTAACAAATGTCGTTCGATTATCAGGTTCTGCCTTTGGGTCGAGAGAAAATCGGAGATTCACATATACCGGCAAAGTCAATTTTCGTGCTGGACGAAACACGATTGCACTCCTGAGTGTTGCTGTTGGACTGCCAGTGAGTTTTATCCCCTCACTTTACATATAATTGTCCATACTGAAACAAGTCTTCCTTCTGTCACTAAACTATAATAAAGGCATGACTGCTCTTGATCCCTTCCCCAAGATGAAGGGGTTGTTGAATTAAGCTTGGAAACTTGTACAATTTGAGCAAATTGTACACATCATTCGATCACAATTTTCAGAATACAGTTTTGAAAACAAAAACAGAAAACTGTTTTCGAGGTCATTTTCCAAAAAGCCCCTTGACTTCTAATTGTATTGGGCTTTCCCCATATTTGTTGCTAATGTCATTTTCTGAATGCTTCTTGTTGAAGAATGTTGGGGGACACTTTGAATCATGGAACACTGGAATTTTGGGTCCAGTTGCTCTTCATGGACTTGACCAGGGAAAATGGGACTTATCCTGGGCTAAATGGACCTACAAGGTTGGTTACTTAACTCCAATTTTCTCAATTGTTATGATTTCATCTCCCCCAAACTTTTCCTCAATCTTAACTCCACTACAACAGGTCGGGTTGAAAGGAGAAGCCATGAATCTTGTATCTCCGAACAGCATTTCTTCAGTCGAATGGATGGAAGGATCATTGGCTGCACAAGCACCGCAACCACTGACTTGGCACAAGGTATCTCTTGACCCATAATCCAACTTGGTTTTAGAATAAAAGATGAGACGAGCATTAAAGATATCAACCTTGCCTTTTACTTGCAGAGTAACTTTGATGCACCTGAAGGAGATGAGCCATTGGCTCTAGACATGAAGGGAATGGGGAAGGGTCAAATATGGATTAATGGACAGAGCATTGGAAGATACTGGACTGCATATGCTACTGGTAACTGTGATGAATGCAATTATGCTGGAACCTTTAGACCTCCCAAGTGTCAGCAGGGTTGTGGCCAGCCAACACAAAGATGGTAACTTCTTCACAGTAGGGAACTCATCAATATTGAAGCATGATTATTTTTTTTGACATAACCCAATAAAATTTTTGATTTCAGGTACCATGTGCCTCGTGCTTGGTTGAAGCCAAAAGACAATCTGCTAGTAGTCTTTGAGGAACTTGGAGGGAATCCCACAAGCGTCAGCTTGGTGAAGAGATCAGTTACCAGTGTCTGTGCTGATGTCTCTGAATACCATCCAACTCTTAAGAACTGGCACATCGAAAGCTACGGAAAGTCGGAGGATTTACACAGACCCAAAGTTCACCTTAGATGTTCTGCAGGTTATTCCATAGCTTCCATAAAATTTGCAAGCTTTGGAACTCCTTTAGGCACCTGCGGGAGCTACCAGCAAGGAACTTGCCACGCTCCTACATCATACGACACTATAGAGAAGGTGCGGAAACAAAGATCCTCTCTTGTTTTTCTTCTACGAATCCCCCCTCTCACATTTTCCTCTCTCTTTCTACAGAGGTGCATGGGGAAGCAAAGATGTGCTGTTACCATATCCAACACTAACTTTGGGCGAGACCCATGTCCAAATGTGTTGAAGCGACTATCTGTGGAAGCTGTATGTGCTCCTACGACTACAGCAGCAGCTGCACAACCCAATTGGAGGGGTTGATTTAGCTGCTTATGAAGGGTTGAATTCAATGACTTAAACAAAAGCAAGCAAAGGGATAATAGGGAAAGAAGTACTTTTTCAGGTTGTATCTGATGATTTGGTTTTCATATTGAGTGATTTTCTCGTCAAGGGTGAGTGTGGTGCCAAAGGCAATAGGGTTTGAGGTAGGTCGTAGAGTTTGTAAATGCCAGGGTTCTGCAATCTAGGCCCTGAGGCCCATTCCCATTCCTGGCATTTTAACTGGAAATGGGTTTTGGGAAAAATAGATCCATTTATATCCTGTAATGTAATTTATTTCAGTTTGTTATATTGGGGAAAAATCAAACCCCACTTAGGATCTTGTTTTGTGACCTGGTGTGACAAGTGCCTCCTGTAATACATGGCCAATTTGAACGAAAAGAATTTGTTCACATTTTGCTTTCGAAAATGGGGTAGATCTCCTTCACCTTTTGTTTGAGTGGAACTTGTATATTTAATTCAGGATACGAAATTTCTTTCTTGTGATGATAAGATAGATCCTAAGATACACATTCCTCCAGTTATGGAATAGGGTATAATTTCATTCCAAAATGCATGGCTCTAGTCGTATTTAACCAAGGGTACATGTTCAGAGCAATCCATAACATATATTAAACAAACCTTTCTCCTACAGAAATGGGCTTTTTTCTTTCAGCTTCATGGAGAAATTGGTGTTCACGAGTTCAAACATAGCTAGCTCATTGAATATGAGGTCCTCAGTTATACAAATGAAGCATTACCAATGTTTTTCTAAACTTACAGAAAGAAGAAAAGACAAACAATAAAAATAAAAACCACTTCAAAAGGGAGAATATACTACCAATACCATGTTCTAACAACAAAGCGAGCAGATAGGAGTTGATAAAAGAAGTATAGAAAATTATAGCGGTTTCATAGTGTAATTTAAGTTCTTTATGTTCTATGAATATCATCAAACCGAAGCAGTAGCCGCCATGTGCTTGAATACAGTCTGCTGCAGTTCTTCCTTCTTAGCTCCCACCACCTTGTCCACAATTCTTCCCTCTTTCAGGAACATGAAAGTAGGCATTGCCTCCACCCCCCAATCTTTAGCTACCGACTGCACCAACCAACACATTTCAACACAAGCCACACACAGATCAGAGAGAAGAAGAAGAAGAAGCCAGAGAGGGATTTATAATACCTCCAGATCATCCACATCCACCTTGAGAAATGTGACGCTGGGACATTTATGAGCAAGCTCGTCTAGAAAAGGTCCAATGAACCGACATGGTCCGCACCATGATGCAGTAAAATCCACAACTATCTGCCAACAGTTTTAGCACTCATGAACCAAAAAATCCAACTACAGGAATCGTACAATGAGTTCAAGTGTCAAAAAGCACTCAATAATTGGTATTCCTGTTCCCTTCTACTCTGATTGCGCCATTCATACATGGATTGGATTGGCTACGTAGAATTAATCACCTCAACACTAATATATATGTGCTACAGATGTATCTGAGTGGGAGACAAAAATGATACTGATTGTTTCAATAAAGAAAAGGAAGCACGAAAGATTCGGAACATTTCACACTTTCATTACTTTTTCTACCACAAAAGCAAAGAAAAAGGAGGGAAAAGTTTCTCGAGCATCGATATCCTTTGAAATTCCACAAATGTCTTTCAAGTCGATGAGTTTGATAGGATTAATGCAGATGATGCATTGAAATCAAATAACAGATCGCCGATCAAATCAAATGATTCCAAAACACATTAATCATGAGAATTAAAGCAGCACTTAAATTCAACCGAAAAGGCAGAACAGTATCATGATTGGAATGAAGAGCATTTTGAAAGAAAACTCAAATATCGTTACAAGGAAATTGAATTTGTTTTACCAGTTCCTGAGAACCATTGCCCTTCTGAATTTGCTGGTTCCATGCATCGACTGTGTTACAGCGGATGACTCTTCCTTCTGATGCTGCCATTATCTATTTTTTTTTCCCTCTCGACTATACGAATCTCTAAAACCGACAAACGAAGCCGATTTTGATCACAGCGAGAATTTCTCCTTTATATAAGCAGTGAGATTGCTTTTTACACAGAAATGGACATTACTTTATGATTAATCACGAGTTTGCCACCCCAATTAAAGGACCGCCTTTGATATTCCATGCAACGTTTTCCCCAAGTGCGCGTCGTTCGAGCAAAGCCTGATTTCTTAATCACCCATTTTAACGTATGCTTTTGAAGAAAAGTATTTTTGTCCGTCTGTTTTTACTGAATATAAATATATCTATATATCTTTATTTATTCGTTCAAACACATGAGATATGACTCGTCCAAGTATAACAGGTAGAGGTGGAAATCGTTTGAGATATATGTCAATTACTGTTAATTATGTTCGTTCCAACTCACTAATTGGGATATATTTAGATGGGTTAATTTTAAAACTTTATTTGATTTGTTAGTAACATTTAAATTAAAATAATGTAGGGTGGTAACTTGATTTTTTACAAACTCATGCTTTCTTGTTTGTAATATGATATTCTAAAAGAATAGAATAATAATGTAGAGTTTATGAAATGGAATAATATTTCAATTAATTATGGCCCAGTGGATAATATTTTTTTTTCTTGTCTGCCACAATAAAAAAATAAAATTATGTTGAGTAACTCTTTCTCGTTTTTTGTTTTTATTTTTCTCTGTTTTTTGTTATCTAAAATTTTAGATTAACAAATGCAAAAGGTTTATATAAAACTTAATTTTTCAAAAGTTTTATGCTGTATTTATTATGCAAATTTTTGTGAGACATGTTTATTGTGCAACTTTAAAATGAAAAATGATGAACATATATTTTATCCATATTTTAGAAAGACAAAAGGAATAAACAATTAGAAATTTGATTTTGTTATTTTAACCTTTTTAAAAAATTGAGAAACGAGAAACATAAATCATTATCAAATTATAGATTTTATTAGTGTGTGCAAAATTGAAAAAGTATAAACCTGTGGGTTAAAAGTGTAGTTTTAAGGAGTAGTTTAAGAAAAATACTTTCTTTTATAATTAGAAAATATTCAATAACAAATCATTTGATGTTTACTTCTCCACTTGTTGAAGTACTTTTGAGTGTTTTACTATTTTTGCATAACTTTTAGATAGGATAATTTTGAGAGATATTTGATTTTGATTATAAATATCATATTTAGATGCTGGCCCGTGAACATCTATCTCATTATTAAAAAAAGAATACTCATTATTCAAAAATATATAAATTTATTTTTTGCATTTCTCTCCTATTTGTCAATTTTAATTTTCAATGATGTTTATCGGTCAATACCTAAGTGCCTGTTTGATAATCATTTAAAAAAAACAGAAGTGTTTGATAACTCATTCAACCTTTTGTTTTATGTTTTTAAAATTCAACACAAATTTAAAAAACAAAAAAAAAAGTAATTTGTGGTAAAATACATTTTTGGTTCTTGGGTTTGATGATAAGTTTCGTCCTAAATTTCAAAAAGTGATTGTTTGGTCCTTAACTTTGATGATAGATTTCTATTTAGTATCTAAATTTCAAAAGTAAGCACGACTTTAAAAATAGTTGAGAGAGGTCTCTAATGTCAAATTTCCATTAGTATCACTAGTGGAATGTTAACGTGCCTCCTCTTTCTTCGTCACTTCAAACGCCACATCTTCTATCAGTTGCACATGCTTTTCTTTTTCCTCCGAGATATAATATGTTTGGGGAGTGGATTTGAACTCACAACCTCTTGGTTGGAGGTATATGTCAGTTACCACTTAACTATGCTCGCTTTAGTAACTGCGCATAAAACCCAAATTTAAGTTTACCTTATTTTTTTTATCATATATATGTGTGGCCGTGAATCAAAGTGAGAAGCCGTGGATTTTAATTCCAAATCAAAGGGGACAATTGTGGGTATTCTTTAGCAGTCGATTTGAGAGTTTTTGTGGCAGATTTTAGAGGCGGTGGTTCGGGACTGTTGTAGACTTTTGTTGGGACCTCTAGAATATATTTTTGGAAAAAATTTATTGTAATCAAATTTTTGACAATATTAGTAAATTATTGTGAACGACGGAACAAATAATTCTTGACTGTTGCAGACTCGGATTAGTTCAAAGGCTCAGGACCAAGGGGCGTAGCTGCTATTTCATCGGGAGTGAATGACACTAGGGCTATTTTCCACTAATAAGAATCTTCTGACCCCAATAAGTTCTAGTAAGGATCAGAGATTGTCTAAATGGTAATAAGAAAGTGGCAACGTCTTCTCATATCATATAAAAGAGAAAGCAGTTGTGCTTGTTCGCTCTTTTCCAGAGTCATTACATTCAAATTGTAATTTTAAATCAAGTTGGTCGTCGTCACACCACTCACTGATGCGGATTTGGGAGGCTAGGTCATCCCGCATTGAATACGAATAAGCTTTTCTTTCATTCCTCTTGTTAAAATGCTTTCCCTTAGGTTCGGTGCAAGCTAGGACTGGTAGCATAGTCTTCTCTTAGGCTTTCTCTTGATGGAGGAATGAGAGCCACACGTTACCACTTGATTTTCTTACTTTTCCGGTATAGGAGGAATTATCCACATCTGAGTGAAAGACTAACACTTAGTTGGTGAATTAATATAATTTTTCTATGTTATATTATCGTATCTTACTAATATAATTTTGCTGTATTGTATTATTATATTTTGTTGTATCGTATTATTGTATTTCTGTTTATCAAAAATGTATTTTACCTGGTTTAAAAAATAGGTCTATGTTTGTTTTATACTTAAAAAAAAAAGTCTCTGTTTTTCAAATTTTCATACTTTTTTTTTGACATATTTCCCTCCAACAATAGATTTGTTCGACTCTGAATTTTGTTCTTATCACAATTTTTTCCTCTAAAAAGTTTATCTCTCATTATAAACTTGGATATTTACTATTACCATCCTCTCAAAATTTTATCTCTACGTATTTTTATTTATTTCTTTTGGTTCTAATCTATCATTCTCATTTTCTCTATCTAAAAATTTAATATTTGTCTAAAATTTTATCTTTTATAACTTCTTTTTCTCTCGCTAATTCTTACTTTCAAAATTCTTTCCTTTTTATTTTAATTTTTCTCTCATTAAAATTTTCTTTTTTATAAATCTCTTTTTTTTCCTCTAATTTTTTTTTTAAAAAAATTTATTTTATCTCAGAACTTTTATTTTCATAACTCTACTGACAAAAATCTATGCAGGGTCGAGTTACTTCTTCAGGTATTTTCCTCCATGCCACAGCTCAAACCCCAATTCTATTATTTAAATAATTAATATATATTTTATTAAATATTTCTTCTTTCCTCAATTCACCCTTTAAATAATCAAATGGGTTACAACTAATTCCTCATAAATGGACCTAATTAAAGGACAGATCGTTGAAATTCGATGCAATAACTAATTTTATTAATTATATATATATATATATATGTTAATTTGCAATAAATTTAAATAGAAACGGTAAAAGATTGATATGGCAATGACATTTTTTATTAGAGGAAAATGGAGAAGAAAATCTCAATAAATTATAAATTCCAATATTGGAATAATATCCTTGCTAAAATAAGTATTTAACAATTGATCCTTTGTGCGTGGCTGGTTTGAATGTAAATAACTAATTTATTGTTTTTGAAAAATATGACTTAGTTGCCTCCCTCAATTAATTTTGTCAACCAGCTAAACTTTAAAAAAGAGAAGAAAAATTAGCTATTAAAGGTACTAAGTAGTTAAGTTCGTTGAACTAATAAACTTTAATCTTGCAGTATAAATAAATAAAAGGACAAAAGTTTATCTATTATTTTATAGTTGGCTCGCCTTGAGATTGATTTCAGGAAGAGAATATATAACTTTTTTCTATTATAAATATTGTGGAAACTCAATTTCACAATCTCGTGAGATTAGTAAATGGATGAAAATATTATTAAACATTTATTTTATAATGAACACAACAAAGTTATAATGATACAATTTCATAAAATAAAAATTCATAAACAATAATTCTAGGGTCTTAACAAATTTATTTCTCACAAAAAAGAACTTACGGGATATTTATAATCATTAAATAATTACATTTTTAGGTAAAGTGCTCCTAAAAAACAAAAGAATATGAAAATTGTATTTGTTGTTAAATATATAATTCAGCTGCTAGTGAGACTAATTCGAAAATAATTTAAATGGCATTGATCCAATTTTAAAATGAGAGTCCATCCAACTTCTACCTTACACATGTATTAAAAACAAGTTTAGAAGGGAGAGATATGTATAGGTTAGAAAAATACGAGAAGTTAATTAAAAGTTTCTTTTCTATATAGATATAGGTTAAAAAATTAATTACGTTGATTAGATTAGGTTAGAGGTGCATTTTCCTTACCATCATGGGTGACTAGAATTAAATAGAAGAGAATTTAATTAAAATCTCATAATGACCATCTAACTAATAAAGCATTTGCTGTCTCAGCCAACTTCTTAAAAAGAAAAAATAAAATTAAAAATGTAGCTCCATTCATTTAAAACACCAAAAGTTATTATTGAATTATGGAGTAAATTGAATCTGGCTTAGGCCACTATGGATGGCTCAACAAGAGTGACCATTGTTGGCCACACAAATTGGTTTTTTCATGGACCAAGCAAACCCTGTGTGGATGACCCAGCTTCTTCATTTTGACCAAATTTCTTTGTAAACTTTTAAAAGCTACTTTAAATCACACTAATAGTAAAGTGGCATATATGCTTTTTACCAACAGTCATCCAACTGACTCGTGACTCTTTTTTATTATTATTATTATTAAGTTTTCCCAATTGGGATCGTTTCTCTTTAATAACATATTAAATATCTTCATATTATGATTTATGTGGTTCATACAATTAAATGTCATGTAATAAACAATTATTTTTCAATTCCCACATGGTTCCTTATTAATTTATTGAATATACGCAGGAAAATTGTCGTTGTCTGCTTGATTTGGAGTGATGGGTCAAAGCTTGACCTTTGACTTCGTTGACGCCGTTTTTTTAAATTTTTCTTCCACCAATAGTAAGTGGGAGTTCTAAAATTTCCTCTTCTATTTAACATAGATTATGTTATATGGTAAAGCATTTAGGTTTTAAGATAGTTTTTTTTCTAAATATAATACGTAGGATAGGAGTTCGAATTCATGACTTTAAATCAGAGATAAATGTTTTAATCAATTTGACTTTTAAAATAGTTTATTGGTTAAAACATTAATTTTTTATAATAGAATTCAAATTCGTGCCCCACAGTTATATTATTACATTTTCAACACAAAAAAAAAAAAAATTAAAACCCAACCATAAAATCAAAGAGTAAAAAACACAAAATAAACTAAATGATATGTATAAATTAGAATAAGTAAATGCTCTTTTTAACAGTATTATAATGTAATTTTATATTTGTATTATTATTTAAAAAATCTTTATATTTTTTTCTGATAATATATTTTCAAATCGATAGCTAATAAATTTTTTTCAAATAAAATTTATAAGTTTAAATAAGGCTGCAGTACCCCTGCCCTCCCCTTTGCTAAATATATATATATATATAATTAAAGTCAAACGTCCATCACTTAGGGATTTTAAAGAAATAATAATAAAAAAATCCACAAAGCATTTTTTATAGGTTAAAAAAAAATCCATCGTTCAATGTGATGTCTCATAGAATAATGCAATTGACAAAAATAGGACCAGAGCATCTATATACTTTTACATGTGAGGTAATAAGTCAAATCAAAATAATAATAAATATTTTATTGATATATATGCTTTAAATTAGCAAAACAAAATTGATAAATTTGATACTAAGATTAATCTTTTTATGTACTAAGTTGTTTTAGTTACACTATTATTGTTACAAAATGTTAAAATTATTAATAAAATTTTATATTCACTCCACAAACTACAACCACAGATAATTTAATCCATCAAATATTGCTTAATATTGCTTAATCGTAAAAAATAACCAAGTAAATACTTTAAAAAGATTAAAGGAAGTAAAATTTAAAATGTTATATGCAAAAATAAATAAATAAATAAAGAGAAATTTCATTCCATAGATATATAATATGTATTTTAAAAATATTACCATTTTTTTTCAAATAAATGTGATAGTTTTTAGAATTGAGAAGATAGTTTTTATCTTATATTAAATTTGAGTTTGATTTGGTTAGTGTAGCTTCTCTAAAATTTTAATTTTTTTAATACTTAAAAATATATGTTTATTTTGAATTATAAAGGCCTTATAATTTAATATTTAATCCAATTTAAAATTAAACTACCAATTGGATTGTTTTCCCAAAAAGAGAGAAGAAATACCAATTGGATTTCTCTCTTTGAATTTTGACGAATTAGTAATTAGTATCCAAACAGAAAACAAATATTCCTAATTTCACGTATATAAAGCCACCCGTCCATCGGCATTTACGGAGTATGGATTAAATTACATCTCTCTACCCTATCTATAAAATTAATATAAAATTCTCATCTCTCCCTCTCAAAAACCCTCCAATTCTTCCCTCTTCGAATTCACCGCCATGGCTGCAATTTCGCAGTTCATAGCTCTGCTTCTATTAGCTCTATTGCTCTCCGTCGCCGACGTCTGCAATGGAGGTATTACCAGTAAATACACCAGGAAACCTGAAGCTTCCGTCGACATGCCCGTCGAAGCGTTCCCCCCGCCCCCTGGTTTCAACGCACCGGAGCAGGTCTCCGATATGGAAGATTTACAGATAGAATAGTTTCAATTTTTTTTTTCTTTTAATCTTTTCATTTTATGGAAGGTTTTGTTTGTTTTTGGTGAATGTGCAGGTTCACATAACCCAGGGAGATCGCCATGGCAGAGGCATTATAATCTCATGGGTAACGCCACGGTCGCCCCACCCGAATGTTGTCAGATATTGGGCTGAAGATAGCGACGAAAATCAGAAGCAAAAAGCACATTCCAGAATCACTACTTACAAATATTACAATTACACTTCTGGATTCATACACCACGCCACCATTGACGAACTTGAGGTTCGCTCTGTTAAAACCCTCTGCCTTTTTATTTCCAGTCTCGAAAACTAAGGTTCCAAAATGTTGAATTTCAGTACGATACTAAATACTTCTATGAGCTCGGGAGCGGCAACACGAAGCGCGGATTTTCGTTCAGAACGCCTCCCAAGCCCGGGCCTGATGTTCCGTACACATTCGGCATTATTGGTTTGTCTTCTTCCTCGCTTGTGATTCGATTGCATTCTCTGTTTTATAAAGATAAATTAAAGAAGCAGTTGCAATATCTCTGCAGGCGATCTTGGACAGACTTATGATTCTAATAAAACTTTTGAGCATTATTTTACAAACCCCAAGGGACAAGCCGTGCTGTTCGTCGGAGATCTTTCTTACGCCGACAACCATCCGTACCACGACAACAGGAAGTGGGATACATGGGCTCGATTTGTCGAGAAATCAACTGCCTATCAGCCGTGGATTTGGACCGCCGGCAATCACGAAATGGATTTCGCTCCAGAAATTGTAAGAACAACTGCACAAGATTACCATCTTTCTACTTCTTCAGTTTACAATTTCCTCCTACTTTGCCCCCTAGATCTTTAGAATCGAAAGATTATATATAGAATGATAGGAAATTTTGAAGCTAACCCAATTGTGTTGTTTCAGGGAGAAAACACCCCTTTCAAGCCTTATACGCATCGGTATCACGTTCCTTACAAAACATCACAAAGCTCGTCACCACTGTGGTATTCGATCAAGCGTGCATCTGCCTACATTATAGTCCTTTCGTCCTACTCTGCTTATGGTACGTGTTGATTTGGTGATGAGGGTATTGAGTTACATTCGAAAACAGAGCTAAAAGTGGAGTTTTATTGATAAATCAGGTACATATACTCCGCAATACCAGTGGCTGGAGAATGAGTTTTTGAAGGTGAAGAGAGATGAGACTCCATGGTTGATTGTTATGCTTCATTCTCCCTGGTATAATAGTTACGACTACCATTATATGGAAGGAGAGAGCATGCGGGTTATGTTCGAGTCCTGGTTTGTTCAGAACAAAGTTGATCTTGTTCTTTCTGGCCACGTCCATGCTTATGAGCGTTCGGTATGTGAACTTATTTTCTTTGAGAAAATTGTGAGATGGGGATTTGAAGAAATATGAAGCGAAGTGATTGTTTATTTGTGGCAGGAGCGAGTGTCCAATGTGAGATACAACATCACAAATGGATTGAGCACTCCAATTAGAGACGTTAATGCACCAATTTACATAACAGTCGGTGATGGTGGAAATATTGAAGGTCTTGCTAACCGGTGAGTCTTTTTCACATCTTTGCTTTTTCCTTCGAAGACGAAAAGAACTTATTTTTTAATCTCATATGTTGATGAAGTGTGAAATTCAATCAAATTGTTGATTTCATTAAATTAAACTTTAAATTGGATTAAGTGACTATTTACAGTTCAACAGCACTTTTGAACTTCTAGAATATATGCGGTTGACTAATAATTAACCATGGTTACTTTAATAGTTTTTTCCCTTTTGGAAATTATGTTACTTCTATGGTTGTAGAGTTGACTTGCATTCTTAGGTTAGAATACCATTATTTTTTAGTTAGCACCTATCTTAGTGCCGACTTAGTTGAAAATGTTGACTTAATGGTGGTAAGCACGAAATTGAGTCGGAGCACTCCTAAACGTTACACTACTTTTTAATAAATGTGTGGTTTGGAATAACCCAAAAGATGAAGAGTTACTCTTTGTCTAAATTCTCAACCTTTTATTATTTGATCTTAGATAAAATTTCTAACTTTGGTTAGTTAATACACACCCAAGTAAATTGCTAAAAGCCAATCAAAATGAGCTTTTTAGTTTCCTTAGAAAAAGAAAACTACATAGTACATATATAGTTTGATCATATATATATATATATATATATATAACATTAGAGTTGGTTGGTTTATGCAGTTTCACAGAGCCACAACCAAGTTACTCAGCGTATCGGGAGGCAAGCTTCGGGCACGCAATGCTTGAAATCAAGAATCGAACTCATGCATACTATACATGGCACCGCAACGAAGACCATGAGCCTGTTGCTGCTGATTCACTTTGGATATATAACAGATACTGGTTCCCACAAGACGAGGCTTCTTCTCAATAGACTTTCCAAAAAGAAAAAGATAACTTTTGCGGTTTTTAGGTTGTAGTGCAGTGTTTTGTGGTGGATTTTAGCATCTTCATTCCCTATTGCACACACAGTGAATAAAATAACCATTTGTTCGTGCAAAACGAAGGGCACCCATTCTCTTTCTTTTATTTTAATATCGTTTTCAAAGGGGATTTTTATTTTTGACCCAACGCAACACTCATATTCCGTCTAGTGAGCAATTTGAATTCAAAATCAACTCTCCAAATTTAAGAACAAATGGAAGAAACGACGGAGCGTTGCGTTTCTCCCGAACCTAATACCATTTCCACTGTCTGAGGACTCCACGTCCTGTTTTTTTCTTGGTGAGTTTGGAGCCTTTGACTAATAATTTAATTAAAAATTTTGGTCTCTGAATTTGGAGGGTTTTATTTTGATAAAACTTTTTTTACATGTTATTGTACTCGAACTTGGACTCATTGTGCAAATTTAAAGAATTATACTAATTACAATAAGAAGTTTACTAGCTCCTATCTAATATATACATATCTTAATTTTATTTATACAGTCTTTGTTAATAGACACTTCACAAAAATGTTTAAATGTACACCATATTTAAATAAGAGAGAAATTCTGTCCATTCATTTTATTCTTTTCTTTTTGTCATTCACTTATAGTTTTTTTTAGAAGCTCTTCATACCCATTTTTTTCATTGTTTTTATTTGTTACCTTAAATGAATTGATATCAATTTTATTTTATTTTACATATTATCAAAGTCAAACTAATTAGAATAACTCTATTTTACTAAAAAAAATTAGTAAAATAGAGTTATATATATATATATATATATATATAAAGAAAAACAAGGTAGTTTAGATGAGATGTTAGAAGAGGTACTAAAATAGGTTTTTTTTTTCTTTTTAGATTGACATAATTCAAATGGGATGACGGATGAGGTTTGAATCTACAAAATGAGATTCGACTAAAACATGTCTCTAGTGACAGATTTTATACCATATATATTTTTATATATATTTATTGAAGTTATAGATTTAAATTCCCACTCCTTCATAGACTCTCTGAGACGAAAATTTTGTCATCTCTTAGCTAATCCGTACCCAAGTCCGAAGCACAGCGCCGTCTCTGCAGAGGAGGAACCGGCCCAACTTGATTGGGCCTTTGGGCCCGTGGCAAGAGAAGCCCAGCCTTTAAATTCTGGAAAGTATCAATCCATAAGAGTATTAAAACCGCTGTCCGTAGCGGCGGTACCGAAACTGCTGCAATCCAGTGTCGTCTCCGTCGCGTCTGGTGCTGAAGGTCGTTCTTCTCCACTGAAATTTGGTGCAAGTGTTGAAGGGAATTATGGCTAAGTGTAAGGAATTAGAATTACCCTCTGAACCTAACGCTTAGCCTTCACAGCCTTGAAGCACTATTTTTCCTGGAGAACTGTGAATCTGCGGATTGAACCAACTCGAGCTGAAAGGTCCAACGGAATCGGAAGATATGAGGAAGCGAGATTTAGCCATTCTTATGCTCTCTGCCTTCGCTATTTTTTTCTCCCTTCAGGTTCCTAATTTCGCCTTCTAATTTGTATTTGTTGTTCAGGACTTCTTCTGACTTCATCCATCGGCGTTCCTTGATTTTGGAAAACTGACGACATTGTGTTGTTAATTCGCATTTCGATTGTCTATTTCGTAATAATGGGACTGATTTTGTTGCGTTTCTCTTGAATTTCAGCACGAGGGCGATTTCTCATTTAGGGAGGCGTGGATGCATCTAACTGATGAGTACCCAATCAAGTATGAAGGAGATCGTCTCCCGCCACCTGTTGTCGCCGATCTTAATGGTGATGGAAAGAAGGAGGTTCTTGTAGCCACGCACGATGCTAAAATTCAGGTAATCTGGAGTACCTTGCCATGTTCATTTTGGTTTATGCAATCACGCGTGTTTTCGTATGGAATATTTGGGTCGATAATTTTGGCGTGCTGCGACGTTTAATGTTCCTTTGCTTTCTGTCACATACGATTGTTGGATTTCGAAAACATTTTTGCTGGCTTCTATAGCGTTTTGCTAGTCAATCGGCTATGTAGACTGGTTTTATGAACTTTGGATGGTCGTCTCAGGTTTTGGAACCCCATAGTAGGCGAGTGGATGAGGGATTTAGTCATGCACGTGTGCTGAAAGAGGTCTCTTTGTTGCCCGATAAAGTACGCATTTCATCTGGTAGACGTGCTGTAGCGATGGCTACTGGCATTATTGATCGGCATCCCAGACAGGGGCAACCTGTGACTCGGGTTGTTGTTGTTGTTACATCCGGTTGGACTGTGATGTGTTTTGATCACAATCTCAAAAAGTTATGGGAAACAAATCTGCAGGTCTGTTTTTCTTTTGATATCTGTAATGTTCTGTGTGCTTCATTATCCTGTATTTTTCTATTTACTATTCTCCTTAGATCATATGGTTAACTAATAGCCTAGTTCTTGGTGGCATTTGGCAGGAGGATTTTCCACATAATGCTCACCATAGAGAGATAGCAATCTCGATAAGCAATTATACCCTAAAGCATGGTGACTCAGGATTGGTTATTGTTGGTGGGAGAATGGAAATGCAGCCACATGTATGTCTTATTACATTCTGGTTCTTAAGATGCATGATATTTGTTCACTTATCACAGTACTAGTTGGAATGCTGCCAGATTTGTGTTTTCTCCCTCTAGTGTTAATATCAAGAAATTTTCCAATTGTTCCAATCACATAATGAATGAATAATCTACTGCATATAGGAGGTAGCCAAAATTAATAAATTCATAATGTCTTTTTATTGATGATTCACCAATATGCACTCAGCATGCTAATGACCAAATTACTTCCATATAGATTTTTATGGACCCCTTTGAAGAAATTGGAATGGCAGAAAAGAACGCTGAGCAGCATAGAAGAAGTGCCACTGAAAAGGAGGTATGACAGTTTTGAGGGTCATTTATCAAGAAAGTTTTTGTGTCTCTTTCATATGTCTTCTGAGTGGAAAATGCTGATGGTTACAAGAACTGGAACCTTCAAAAGAATCAACCGTTTTGTGCGTTCATGTTGCTTTGGAGATAAATTTATCTTCTGAAATTGTGAAAGTTTGTTACTCAATTCTCTGGTATGACACGTCAATGTGACAACTTTAGCTACAGTTGGGAGATTGTATATTTTCTGTTAAATTAAATGTTAGTGGAAGATGGTTACATGATGAGTACGTAAATTCTCTATGTAGGCTTCTGAGAACTCAGGGACAGTAGATTTACGCCATTTCGCATTTTATGCATTTGCTGGTCGATCTGGTGTGCTGCGATGGAGCAGAAAGAATGAGGTGATTCAACATATATACTTCTTTTCTTATCTTTCCCTTTCGTATTATTTTCTGGAAATTTATTCTTTACTGGACACAGTAACTCTGTCAAAAAAGAAAGAGGTCATTCGTTTTTGTTGAGGAAGTTCAATTAATTAACTCTCTGTAGATAGCCGGGGCCAACTTGGTTGGCAAGGGCTTGAGGTCTTTTAGTTATACTGGCTTAGAGGTCTCTTGGTTATACTGGCTTAGAGGTCTCAGGTTTGAACCTTCTGGTCAGCTTAATACTGAAAACCCTTGATGTCTCCTAGATTTGTGCCTTGGGGTGGGTGTGGGTGCCCCTGGATATAGGGGGAGCAAAACTCCAACCTCCTCTTATCAAAAAAAAAAAAAAAAAGAAATATCAAATATCTTTAGATGTAGGTACGGTAGGCACTCATCGGTTATTTAATCTTCTAATGTTTCAGAACATTGAGGCACATTCTTCAGATGCATCACAGATAATTCCACAGCATAATTACAAGCTTGACGTTCATTCTCTGAATGCTCGACATCCTGGAGAGGTATGTAGCCTTATACTGATTCTGTTTCTGACATTAATTTATTGTATTCAATTAAAATTCAACATGTAAGGCTAATATATAATGAGGTCCAATCACAAGTTTTTACCCTGCACTAGAAGCACCGGCGTTTGTAGTTAGCATTTGCTCCAGTTATGAAAGTTCTGAAACGATTTATTTTATAAAAAATAAATACTAGTAAGATTCACCCTGAGGCTTTGCAAATTGCAGTTTGAATGCAGGGAATTCAGAGAATCAATCCTTGGAGTCATGCCACACCACTGGGTAAGGTTACACATGTACTTTTCCATTGTCATTTTCTCGTAAATATTTGATTTCTCTTACAATTTTTTTTAATCGATTAAACAGGATAGGAGAGAAGACACTATGTTAGAGTTGGCGCACTTCATGCGACATAAAAGGAAATCATTGAAGAAAACATCTGGAAAATCAATTAGTTATCCTTTTCATAAGCCCGAGGAAAACCATCCTCCAGGGAAGGACTCAAGTAAAAGGATCCCTAAAATTATTGGTTCTGCTGCAAATATTGTTGGTTCAGCACAATCTAAGAAGGTACGCGCCAATCACGTCTTCATTGCATTATGGATGAATTCATGAATCTTAAACGAAGAACGAGGTTCTATAGTTCACATTTTTTACCCATTTCCAGCAATGTTTCAGCTTGAGTTGCTCACATTTAGTTCTAGATTTTTGAATCACTAATTAACCCAAAAATTTAAGCTTATAGGTTTGATATATTTCAAAGTTATCTGTTTAACACTCCTCACTCGTGGGTTTGAAAATTTTTACAAAGCTCAACAAGTGGTTATCAATATTAATTGGAAAGGAAATGAGATATTGGACTTGGACAAAGGACCTCCAGCTCTATAATCATGTTAAATCACCATTGAACCCAAAAACTGAAGCGGATGAATTATGGTAAATTTAATCTACTACTTATATTCCTAACATGGATGTTTCTTTTATGGGTATGGATGAATTTCTTTTCTATAACTAGGAATCCTCTTTTTAATAGATAGACACTGCCTTAAAAAGCTTCAACTTTTAGCTCAGCTCAGAATCTTAATTTCTGTAAGGTCATAGATAACACATTCAGGTTCTGAACTTTTTCTGTCTCTTAGCTTGTTTTCTATAGGAAATATATTTTAGGAAAAAACTCTTATAATGCATTAAGCCGTTCCTCATCCTCAGTTGTTATAATATTTTTAAAGTCTCCTTAACGTGTTAA